ATATATATATATATTATTCCAACCATCAAAGTTTTAAATAACGTGGGCCAAAGGGGGCTAAAAATTATCGTCTAACATATATAGAATCAGAAACTTCTAAACCAATAAAAGAGAGAAAGACCTCACCAAACAACCAATGGTAGAACATACTAGTGGAAGAAAAAAGTCTAAAACTTGTGCAATAATGTCTCCCATCCCTAATCAACCACCAGAGCTCTCTCTCTAATTTTATATTTACTCCCTGTTTGATAAGGGGTAAAATCAGTTTTTTAATAAATCTCAATAGAAATTAATTAAATTGTGGCTAAAAAATTGTGGAAACTAACGTGATTAAAATCAATTATTAACTTTAATTTAAATTAAAATCCAAATTTTTAATTCCTACCAAACAAGTGATAGGCCCCCGTCTGGCTCCCACTATTCCAAAAAATCACACATAAACTGAAAACTTTTACATGTTTTTCAACGACATATTTTCTAAAAAAATACTATTGCAAAAATTAAAAATGCCACATAAAGGGGGCCACTCATAACATTATTCCCGTTGCCGTATATATTGCTGCTTGAAAACCTGATCCCGCATAACCTGCTTCAAAAAATTCATGGGCATCACCTCATACGATCCCAGTTAAAGGCATCTCGTCAGAGTGTCGAGGCAATTTCCTCATGACTTAGCGTATTCCCGTGTAAATGAGATTATAAGGAGAAGGACAAAAAAGAGACAGGAAAAAAATACTTATGCAATATTCGATATCAATCAAAAAGTACTCAGTATATCTAATATTCCATAGTGTAGATGTAATTTAGCATTTGACTTGTAAACGCAAACATATAATCAAACTACTTGAATATTATGCATTTGACGTTTTATTAAGTTCTTTTTCACCAACTGCTGGAATATTCTCTTCATGTCTAAATCACAGGCTATCATAATAGTTAGAAACGAGAAAGTATTTGTACACCTCAGATATGTTGAAAAATAAATAATTTAAGTTTAAAATTTTCAAATTAGTACCTTTTCATTTGTTGTTTCTATTTTAATTTTAATTTAATTTAATTTAAATTAATAATATTATAGTGTATCATGTTGGTAAATTTAATCGGTAGTGTATGGAGTGAAATCGGGTGATCATATACCGTATTTGTGTTTTAGACACCGGATTCACGCTTACCGTATTTAGCAATTGCTTATCATATATGGCAGTGCAACTCATCGTATATGACAACTTACTGTATTTGCAGGCGAAACTCACCGTATTTGCACAAAAATTTGCATAAAGTGTTTTTATTCATACACTAACTAAAATAACACCAAATTTTTTTACTTATAAATAGAAATACCGAAGACGTAAAATCTATTTTTCACACATAACGAATTAGAAAAAACAGTTTATTTTATTTATCTATTTCTAACATAAATTTCAAATATGTTGCAAATTAAATAAATAAATCTGCAAAATTGCAAACTAAATAAATAACAGATATGATTTCAACCCGAGGC